CTTCAGGTTTGAAAAGAAACAACAAAGCAGGGATGTCAGGAGATAACAGGGAAAGTAACCCTCTAAGAGCAGACAGCAAAGGTGAGGGGACTTGCGAATTCCTCCAGAACACTGCAGGACTCATCCAGTCAAAGCTAACTAAACAAGAGTTAAATAAATCTGATTTATTAATGCAGATGTGAATTATAGTGCACTCTCCTCCTATTACTTGTTTATCTGTATTAATCAGGTAATGAGTCAGCTTTCTGCTCACGGTTATCACAAATGGGAATGAGAATGTCCTAAAGCCAAACCCCAACATATAACTTCAAAGGTCCAGAAGTGAATCACTGGCCTCATAGAGATCTCTGAAAGGTTAGAGACATCTAGGAATAATGACAGGAATTTTAAAAAATTATTAAAAATTATAAGAAGAGGATCTAGAAAATTACAGAAATACTTATTTTTTTAAATTCTAAATGTTTTACCACGTCTTGCCACATATGATGGCAAGTTTTTAATAACTAGAAAGTTTATATTTTTGCTTTTTGTGCAACGTTTAATACAACAGCACCATGTTGTCAATGGATACTTTTATAAACATTTGTTGACTAACTTGGCTGTGCTTCTTACTACAGTCATGAGACTCACACATCAAGAAACCTTGATTTGCTCCTCTACAAAGTCACTGCAGGCCACATGGGTGAAATTTATATAGGAAAATGATAATTCTCATTTAGCAAGCTTGTTTGATGTGACAGGAACTATTCTAGTGCTTTACTTATCATTTCCAATCCTTGATGATTAATGAATATCACTCTATGATAAAGCAGATATCATTACAGATGAGAAAACAAGGGCTTAGAGAAGAGAATCAACTTCCTCAAGGCACACAATTAATATGTCACTGAGAGGAAACTACAGCGCAGCTCAGCCTAATGTGAAAGAGAGAAGGAAGGAAGGAAGGAAGGAAGGAAGGAAGGAAGGAAGGAAGGAAGGAAGGAAGGAAGGAAGGAAGGAAGGAAGGAAAGAAAGAAAGAAAGAAAGAAAGAAAGAAAGAAGGAAAGAAAGAAAGAAAGAAAGAAAGAAAGAAAGAAAGAAAGGAAGGAAGGAAGGAAGGAAGGAAGGAAGGAAGGAAGGAAGGAAGAAGAAAGAAAGAAAGAAAGAAAGAAAGAAAGAAGAAGAAGTGAAGTGGGCTGAACATAAGGGAAGGTTGGAAGGAAGGAAGGAAGGAAGGAAGGAAGGAAGGAAGGAAGGAAGGAGAAAGTGAGAGAGAGAAAGAAAGAGAGAGAGAGAAAGAAAGAAAGAAAAGAAAGAAAGAAGAAAAGAAAGAAAGAAAGAAAGAAAAGAAAGAAAGAAAGAAAAAAAAGAAAGAAAGAAAGAGAAAAGAAAAGAAAAAGGCAAGGAGGGAGGGAAAAGAGAACTATACCTCAAATTTTGAAAGAGACAAACAGAGAAAGATAGATAGATCTAGAAAAAGGGAGAAAAAAATCATAAAAACAACTCACCCTTCTTAAACAAGGCACAGCTGGAGGATTCAAATCAATTATATTTCCCAACCCAGAAAATGTTTAGTAAACCACAGATTTTCTAGGGCTCCAACATTATTCCACAGAACCTCTTTCCAAACACCCTTTTTCTTCTATTATTATATATTACTGGATATTTTTAGAAAATATTGGTAACTCATCAATGAATCTCTCCCTTCTTTCCCAGCAAGGAAGGGAGGGAGAGAGGAAGGAAGGGAGGGAAGGAGGGAGGGAGGGAAGGAGGGAAGGGAGGGAGGGAAGGAGGGAAGGGGGGAGGGGGGAGGGAGGGAGGGAGGGACTATCTTTGTAGACCTCTACCATAGTTTTTCAAATGAAAAATTAAATATCCAGGAAATAATTCCCAACAGTCACCACACAAGATTGAAACCAGACTCTGAAGCCAGCTAAGAGCCCTTTTTCTCCATTTACCAAAAAACAGTGATTACTGAGTCAGATATCTTCAGGTTACCTACACACCTGTAGCCATGTGCCAGGAGTTCTGCTACAGAGATAAAATCAACCAGTTTGGAAATAATTGCAGCATAAGGTCTCACTTTATTGTCACTGATAGAAGAAATCTTAACAGTCCACAAAATCTCATAGGAACAATCCACAATGCCTCTTGAACTTAGAAAGGTAGATGTTGTACGGAGCATCCCATCCTCTTCCTGCCCATCCTCCAGCTTGGCTCACTTCCGGTGGGAAGTGACTGTGTCTGGAAAGGAACTGGCCAAGTTTGACAGCAGCCTCAACTCCCACAGCACACTGGCTCCGTGTTCTTCAGGATGGTGCCCTGGCTGGGCCACAGGAATAACATCAGCCTCTACAGAAGCAGTGGGGAAAGGCCAGTTGCACTGACATTGTTGTTTCTGGACTGGTTAGCATGTCAAGAAACATGAGGCCATGCAAGGACTGAAAGAGGCTCTTGTTGAAACACAGCTCCCTCTTTTCTGTCCCCACATTACTTCACGGGGGAAGTGCACTGCTCCTGTGCCCCACTCATCTTCTTTTCTGAACCTCCAAGAGATGACAACTACAACTTTGAGAATCTCCTGTGACAGCAATGCCATGCAGATGATATTTTCAGCTGAATTGGACACTCAGAGCAATGCCCAAGGAGCTGGTTAAGTAAGAAAGCCCATGTGAAGAGGCTAGGTAAGGTATGAAGCACTACAGAAATGTGCCTTTATGATATAAGCAGAAATAGGAGACTGATCAGGAGACACAGCTCAGCCTAGACAAAACCAAAGCAATGTTCATCACAATAGAAGGAAAGAAATCAAAATTCCAGAAGAAAGCCGGGTAGGGGTGGGGTCGGGGGAGAGGGCGGGGGTGGACTTTAAAACATCTTACCCTTCTTAAAGAAGCCACAGCCGTGGAATTCAGATCAATTCTATTTTCTAACCCAGAAGATGTTTAGCAGATCACGGATTTATTTGGGGCGCCAGTATTATTCCACGGCCCCTCTTTCCAAACACCCTTCTTCTATTACTAAATGGCTAGGTTTCTTTTAGAAAATATTGATAACTTGTCACTGAATCTCTCCTTTCTCTCCCAGCTTGAATCTCCAGGGGAAAAAAATAACACAAGAATAAAAAATAAAAGAAAGAACAGTGTGGTTTAAAAAAAAAAAAGTGGGGACAGAGGACCTAAAGTGTCTTAGATCTGAGATCTGACTTCCTCTTGCGGGCATGTTTTCTTTATAAACTGCCTTTATGAACACCTGCTTAGTGGTTTCAAGATCCTGCAGCCTTTCACTGTGGCACATGCTGACTTTCATATGCCACAAGTGTCCCCTTTCCATCCCACTCACAATGCCTGGGTTCAATCCCTTGTCACCTTTTGCCTCACTGAGAGAGCGAACCCTCCACTGCCCTACCTCCAGGCTCGGTCTCTCCAAGCCACCCTCTACTCTGCCACCAAGTAGCATCCTAAACTTTAAATCCCTTCATGTTCTCCTTTGTAAAATTCTTCATTATCTATTCATTGCCTATAGCAGTAGTTCTTAATGGTTTCTTGGAGATCTGATTACAGCTTTGGTCACTATTTTTTATCCCTTGAAAACAAATCACCCATAAACAATAAATCCTGAGTTAAGAACTCTTGGCCTAGAGCAGAGGTCTCCAAAGGGGTAAGCACCAGATGATACATATGGTACAGAAAAACAATATTAGCATTCCGATTTTTCCATATTCCTACTCTTTAGCAAAACTAAAAAGAAAGTAATTAGAAAGTAATTGAAATGTATGCATGTTGAGTGTATGGAATGATACTGATGCCCTCACCTGACCCAGCTGAGTTTCCCTGAAGGAAGAACTCTTACAGGGTCCCACAAGTGAGAGGTGATGGGGGGAATCCACATTCATTTCTTCACTCTCAGAATATTGGAACGGATTGCATTCTACATGCTAGAGGATGTTATCAATAGTTAATTTGATAAAATTAAGCCCTTATATATAAAGAAGTTTCTTGGCAAGTCTTCTAAGTTCAATGAAAAAGTTTATCGAACTTAAAAGACTTGCCAAGAACCTACTTTATAAAGGGCCTAATTTTATCAAATTAACTGTCCTTCCTAGTTGGTTAGTTATTTTGTATCCAAATACTTAACAGTTATCCAACTAAAAGTGGACTTGCACATTTTTCTTTTACAAAAGACAAGGCTCCCAAGTTGTCTAACCTTTCTTGTGATGACTAGTGGCTACCAGGATTATGCAGATATTTTCAGAAAAACAGATATGCTTAGTATGTCTTTTCAAGGTAAAGATAACATTTTAATAGTGAATAAGAAAGTAATTGCTTTTCTAAATTAATTTGTTGCTTTGAAAATGGGTGTGGTAGCAGCTTCTGAGGTTGACCCTGCTGATCTTCTCTTCCTGGTATCTATATCCTTGTGTAACCCCTCCCCTAGAATATAGACTGGACTTAGTAACTCTAATAAATAGGATTATGGAAAAAGTTACTTTGGAGATTATGTTACAGAAAGGCTGAGACTTACATCTTATTCACCCTCTCTCACTCTCTATGGAGAAGCCCATGGCAAGGAACTACCACCTCTAGCCAACAGCTGACGAGGACCTGAGGCATGTCAACAGGCACGTGAGGGAACTTAGAAGCAGAGCCTCAGTCAATTTCGCCTTGAGCTGACTGGAAGCCCAGCCAACCCCTCAGCCACAGTTTTGTGGGAGATTCTGACCCAAAATAATGCAGCTAAGCCACTCCTGGGATGTGTGACCCACAGAAACTATGAGATAAGAAATGTCTGTTGTTTTACAATACTAATTGTGGGGATGATTTGTTATGCAGCAAGAGATAACTCATACAATTGGGGGAATGTTTCCTCATCATTGATTTAATGGCTAAAAGTAATGTGACTGTGTCTCATTAAAAAACAAAAAGATACCTTTCCTATCTGACCATTAAAAAAAGATTAGAAACAGATTTTTCTTTCTTTCTTTTTTTTTTTTTTTTTTTTTTTTTTGCCTCCCTTCCTAGTTCATTATGAACAAACTATCAACAAAAACCATCCTGTTCAGCCAGTTTCTCAGAGCAACCGTGGGATTCAAAGCAGGTAAAGTGGACTTCTTAATTTGCAAACTTTTAAGGGTTGTATTATTTATTACTTGTTTTTTTTCCTCAGGGGAGGCCTTAGGTAGAAATTACCTTGATATAGAATGAAAAATGTTTGCCTGGAAAATGTGTAGGATGAAGAGAATAGAAACCAGTAATTAAAATATCAATTGGTATGTACTATAATAATTTCAATAATGCAAGTAAGCTGTTGGTAAATATACTATGATTTTCCTTTCAGTAATTTTACTGGATACTAAGTATTAACACCAGGTAACAACATTAGGGAAGATTACAAGTATAGGAGTGAGGTTTTGGTGTTTTGTCCCTTCTTGTTTCTTATTGTCTGTTGACTTACACATGTTGTTGAGTGACTGCCCTTCAGAGATGGGGTCCTACTATGTTGCCCAGGCTGGTTTCGAACTCCTGGGCTCAAGTGATCCTCCTGCCTTGGCCTCCCAAAATACTGGGATTACAGGCATGAGCCACCACACCTGCTATTTTAAAATATTTTATTGAAAAACTCTTGGTGTTTATTCTTTCCCTTGCAAGCATTCTTTAGTAACTCTTTTTCTGGCATCTTCTATAATTCTGCTTTTAAGGTTTTTTTTCTTTATTTTTTATTATTATACTTTAAGTTCTAGGGTACATGTGCACAATATGCAGGTTTGTTACATATGTATCCATGTGCCATGTTGGTGTGCTGCACCCATTAACTCGTCATGTACATTAAGTATATCTCCTAATGCTATCCCTTCCCCCTCCCCCCTTCCTCCACCCCATGACAGGCCCCAGTGTGTGATGTTCCCCACCCTGTGTCCAAGTGATCTCATTGTTCAGTAACCACCTATGAGTGAGAACAGGCAGTGTTTGGTTTTCTGTCCTTGTGATAGTTTGCTCAGAATGATGGTTTCCAGCTTCATCCATGTCCCTTCAAAGGACGTAAACTCATCCTTTTTTATGGCTGCATAGTATTCCATGGTTTATATGTGCCACATTTTCTTAATCCAGTCTGTCATTGATGGACATTTGGGTTGGTTCCAAGTCTTTGCTATTGTGAATAGTGCCACAATAAACATATGTGTGCACATATCTTTATAGCAGCATGATTTATAATCCTTTGGTTATATACCCAGTAATGAGATGGCTGGGTCAAATGGTATTTCTAGTTCTCAATCCTTGAGGAATTGCCACACTGTCTTCCACAATGGTTGAACTAGTTTACAATCCCACCAACAGTGAAAAAGTGTTCCTATTTCTCCACATCCTCTCCAGCACCTGTTGTTTCCTGACTTCTTAATGATCACCATTCTAACTGGTATGAGATGGTATCGCATTGTGGTTTTGATTTGCATTTCTCTGATGGCCAGTGATGATGAGCATTTTTTCATGTGTCTGTTGGCTGCATAAATGTCTTCTTTTGAGAAGTGTCTGTTCATATCCTTTGCCCACTTTTTGGTGGGGTTCTTTGATTTTTTTTTTGGTAAATTTGTTTACGTTCTATGTAGATTCTGGATATTAGCGCTTTGTCAGATGAGTAGATTGCAAAAATTTTCTCCCATTCTGTAGGCTGCCTGTTCACTCTGAAGGTAGTTTCTTTTGCTGTGCAGAAGTTCTTTAGTTTAATTAGATCCCATTTGTCTATTTTGGCTTTCGTTGGCATTGTTTTTGGTGTTTTGGACATGAAGTCTTTGCCCATGCCTAGGTTCTGAATGGTATTGCCTAGGTTTTCTTCTAGGGTTTTTATGGTCTAATATTTAAGTCTTTAATCCATCTGGAATTAATTTTCATATAAGGTGTAAGGAATGGATCCAATTTCAGCTTTCTACATATGGCTAACTAGTTTTCCCAGTACCATTTATTAAATAGGGAATCCTTTCCCCATTTCTTGTTTTTGTCAGGTTTGTCAAGATCAGATGGTTGTAGATGTGTGGTATTATTTCTAAGGGCTCTTTAGAAACAGAATTTTCTAGCCTGTGTCTAAATAATCCAGATGAAGAGTATGAATTTCAACCAACTACTAAAAATACTAAAATGCAACACCTTCCAAAGAGTTTACAAGAATGACTAAATGATATCAGGAAAAACAAAAAGTTATTGATTACATTTTAAGAAAAATCTAAGTACAGTGTTTAAGACTGAAAAAAAACTGCAAAAACTGCATTAGGACTTAGTTAGTCCTGCCAGTAAATACTCCTTCAATCAGAACTGTATTTCTTTGTGAAGTGTCTTGATTTAACTAAAACTAGAAATCGAAATAAACTGAACTTAGAACCAGTCCTTTAAATTACCCCATCACAAAGTGTTAAATCAAAATTTTCAAAAACGTATCTGCATTTTCATACACATTGTTCATTCTAATGTTTAAGAAAATTTTATAGGCGCAAAAACTAACATGTATCTTTAAATATTTCCTATTTAATCACATCTGTGTGTATTTCTGAAGGGATATAAGAAACTAATCTGATAGTCCATATATATAAATAAATATATCCAAATAAACACATATTTGAAGAGTGTATGCTCAAGTTATTTTTACTGGTAGGTGTACGCAATTAAAAGAGTTTATGTAGCCCTGACCTCAAAGACAATTCCAAATGCTTTCGCTCAGTTTGCACAACCTATCTTTTCAGTCAGGCTCTTAGAGCCACTTGCAATTCTCAGGACAACGTTGACTGAGCTTAGAAGTAGATCCTGCCGCAGAAGTCCCTTTCTGCACCACCACTCCTATACCCACCCCCAAGTCCATGGAAGAATTCCGCCTCATATTTCAATGCCTAGCTTACTTGTCAAACAATTCATGACATTTCCTCCCTCTTTCCCCTCCTTTCACCTCTTAATGCTCTCAAAGTTCCCTTTTAACCCTTTTATTACAGAACTTACCATCCTATGCTATATTTTAAGGATTTGTTTCTGTTCCATTTACTCTTAACAAACCGAGGGCTTTCTACATAATTTGCTTAGTAGCAGGTGGTATGCTGAAAATGCTGTTGAATACATGAATAAATGGATGAACTAATTTTTTCAGAACTTTTTTCCTGGGGTTCCAAGTATAGCAAGTTGGAAAGGGAATCTCCTATCATTTTATTTTAGTCAGATACCTATATATCTCACCACCAACATTTAACTTAATAAATATTTTTCCAAAAAAATTTAAAAATTAATTTCAGCATTTCTGAGCAGATTTCTTTCAACCGTGTAAGCAGCATTATTCTATGGTAAGGAGCCAGACTGTGTCAGGTTAAATCCACCTTTGGCACCTATTAACTCTGTAATCTTGGACACATTAAATATCCTCATTGCATCTCCATTTCCTCATCTGGTAAAATGGGGAAAATAAGATACGGCACAGACCTTATCTTATTAAAGGTCCATAAATGTTGCTTGTTATCCTGTTGACCTTTTGCAGAGGTATTAAGTAAACATTAAGTGCTAAATATACTCCCAGACTAAGCCTCCCTGGACCTCCAGTGAATGCACACAGCACACACAGAGATAAGCATGTTAAGGACAGGAGCTCTGTCTACTTTTATTTTCATTGTAGCCCCAGTACCTGGCACATAGTAGGTGCACAATTACTGTTTGTTGATTGATTTCAGAATTCCCCATACATTTCTGCCTTATACAGATTTGAATCCGCATTGTAGTTTCAGACCATCCTTTCCAAAAGCATTCTCAGGATGACTATTGTCAGAATCAGGATGTGGAAAAACAGTTAATGTGACTATGTTGCAGGAAAACCTGAGAAGAAGACCTGAGAGGAGACCAACATTCTATCAGTAAAATAATGGGAAATGATTCATAAATGCAGTATTTATACACAAGTACAAAATGTTCTAGTACTTCAGAAAGTAAAGAAGGTTCATTTAAAAACAAACAACAACCTTGGCAGACTCTAACACAGAATAAAAACTTTTAAAAATTAAACCAATTCTATTGTCCGAATTCTTTTGACTGTCAGCAGACTAGAACAAGATTAACTAGTATAAGAAAGAAATTGTGTGGAGTCACATAAGTGCCAAATTTAGAACACTGTCTCGCCAACTTAATTCAGGTGAGCCCGTCCATCTCTGTACCCCTTTCTCCATACATCTGTTCATCCCTCTGACTCCAGCCTCTCTCTAGATTTTTAGTTTTTTATCTCTTACTAGAGGCAAGTTTCCTCCCTTCGGCAGTGGAAAAAAACAGGGAGGCAAGGCTGCCAATGACTGCAGGCAAACAGCATCCCAGCTCACTGGGCAGAGGTGAAAGGTTTCCTTTCCTCTTAGCTGCATATAGGGTGGGAAGGGATGCTGGGGAGACCGGACAACGTCCATTCACCACACCCAAAAAGGAAAACACGCTCAGAATTCTACTACCACACACAAACTACATCCCATCTTCACACTTCCTTCCAACATTAATGAATACCTTTTAATTACTATCCTGGTACATATTTTTTCTTTTGGCTTTTTGTCTTAAGCCTTTTACCTGTTCCTCCAAAGGCTTTACAATGACCAGATTTAAGTGTCTAAAAGTCATTATGCAATAATTCACCTATCATTTCCTGAATGATTAAAATTTATGTAATTTCCAGATATAGCTACATTTAAAAGATATTATAATTATACTCCTCTAACCTGAAACATGTTTCTTTAAAAAAGTATCTCCTTAAGATAATGCTCAGAAATGGAAATAATGGGTGCAATGTTAAGAACATTTATATAGATCTGGTTCTTTGGATACATTATCAAATTTTTATTCGAAAAGTTGTATTAAATTTCAGTGTCTCCACAATACTACATGCTGCAGCATCACCGTGTCTTCATCAGCAGTGAGAATCATACGCAGATAAACGTTTCTTAAGTCATGGTTCCTAAACATTCTCACTAGCTCAGAATGCCGTCATTAATCCTACTACATTTACGGCCTGACTTCCTCACCTGGGAAGACACAGGAAATTGCCAAGCATAGTTTTAGCACACAGTAGGCACTCACTAAAAGTTAGGTAAAACTGCAACT